TCCATTTCATCGAGGAACGAAGGGACCTAGCAGCTCGTTGCATGGAGGAATATCACCGAGCCACCCAAAGGTACTTCAACAAGGCGGTGAAGATCCGCGAAATTGAAGCTGGGGACCTCGTACTCAGAAAGAGAGAGAAGAGCAAGCCGCTCGAAGGTGGCAAGATGGCCAAAAATTGGGAAGGGCCGTACAGGGTCATGAGAAGATATAACCAGGGGACGTTCCTCCTCCATACCTTGGAGGGGAACCACGCTGGAATTTGGAACGTCGAACACTTGAAGAAATTCTACCAATAGTTAGAGATAGATCGCTTTTGTAATTTCTGGTCGAAGCACCATGTAACATTACTGATCGTCGCCTCTATATTAAGGATTACTTCCTGTCTTTTACTTCTACGGAGAGACTAAGGCCGAAGTGCCATTGAAATGATTTCCTCCTCAAAAAAAAACGAGGAGAAGGGGATATACGACTCCTATGAGAGAGGGAGTCTTGACGAGGTATGTCTGATCTTCCTTCACCACGTATGACGAACGTCTCCCGACGCGGAGGTTAGTAGGAACGTGGGGGAGGCTAGACGTACCAAAGGGAACCTCGGCAGGATAAACCAGTTCCTCCCGATTCCCGTGGATCGACGAAAACCCTCTGCCAGAGCAGAAGGTTAGTAGGGCCACGAGCATGGGACGACGAAGCAGGGAACCCGCGATAGGGTAAACCAGTGACCTCCTTGCGATCGGTGAATACCGAACGTCTTCTTCGAAGTAAGAAGATTAGTAGGGTCCCGACAAGGACGAACGAAGCCTAGTTCCTCCCCCTGATGAGCGGAAGACGAATGCCTTATGCGAAGCCAGAAGACTAGTAGTTCGCAGCTGGGGACGAACGGAGATAGGGAATCCCGACGTGGATAAACCTGTTTTTTCTCAAAGTGGGGATGACGAACGTCTCCTGCGAAGCCAGGAGACAAGTAATCACGAAGCTTGGGAAGGACAAAGACTGATAAAAGACTCCGAAAAAAAAAAAAAAATTGGAGCAAGGAATGCTAGACGAACATGGAGCAAACAATGATTTTTATTCTTCGGTACTAACGACCGGAAAGTACAATGTGTAAAGTACCATGTAAACAATGAAATAATTAGTACCAAGTACAAGACTATGAGCGAAAAGTCAATCCTGATCGACGTCCGGAGTCGGAGCCTTGGGAAGAGTCTGCTTGGCTTTCTCTCTGGCCTCGGCTTCCTCCTACTCCCTACGCTCCTTCAGCAGCTCGAGGGCCCCCGCATGAGCATCCGCCATCAGGACGTCAAAGCCAGCCGCCTCCGGATCGAAAGGAGCCCCGAAGTGACGCTCGAACGTCGGGAGGTTCTCCGCTACTAGCCCAACCATGCCCTTGCGATAGGTATCATCGGCGAGATCATCAAGGAAACGCCGTCCGGTGGGGATGGCCTGGAGCAATTTGACCCCATCCAGATAGGCGTCCGGGCAGGTGGCTTAGAACTCGCCAACGAGCCTTGGGAGGAACTTCATAGCCATGGTATGAATGGCGCCGGTATAAGCCTTGGATTTCTGGAACGCTATGGAACCAGACTCCTTAATCTTGGCAACATCGGCCTCGTAGATAGGAACATGATTATCCACGCCCGTACGGCGGAGCTCCACCTTGGCCTGCTCTACGGCCCACATCCGGCTGCGGAGATCCACAAGCTCAGCCTCCTGTTTCTTGAGAAGCTCCTTCTGGGAAGCATTCTCCTGGACGAGCTTGTCATAGGCGTCGACCTTCTCTTGAAGAGTTCCAGCCCTGCCTTTTGCATTCCTCAGAAGGGCGTCGCATTCGGCCCGCAGCCTGGCCATCTCCCTGCCCTGGTGCTTGAAGGCCATCCGAGCCCTGTGAAAGTAGAGCCCGGCCTTATCCAGGGTGCTCTGACCACACTCCAAGAGGTCTTCAGGGGCCTCCTGAGCAGCGAAGTCCTGCGGAACCTTGAGGTTCAGCCCACACCAGATGGAGGACGCTGTCTGGCCGAAGAGCATCATCGACTCTTTGCGGGGACCAACCCCGGAGAACTCAATTAGGCCAAGAGAAGACCCACTGGCTTCTGGGGGCGAGGTTGGACGAGCGTCGTCAGAAGCCTTGGTGGTCTGGACATCCTCATCCCGAAGACGACGGACGTCAGAATTCCGCGGCGGAGAAGCACGGAGATTGATCCGGGAAGTGGGTTTCCGCTTGAGGGGACTCCCAGGCTCCCCATCAGAATCGTCGGCCACTATAATGGCCTTGGAGGCAGTACCCTCGACGCGCGGCCTCTTGGAAGCACCGGCCCCAGAAGATTCATCAGCCCTTGACCTGGTCACCCGTGTTTCGACCTTGGGGACGAGCGGCTTCTCGGCCTTGTCGCGGCCCTTATGTTCGCGACCAGTGGCAGTCGAAGTGTTGTTGATACGACCCATGATGATCGTAGACGGGAAAACTCCTGCACAAAAGGAACCAAGACGTTCAGAGCTATAACAACGAAGAGATGATAAAGCAAGGCAAGTACAAACGGACGCACCTAACCCGGCCCGGGCTTTAAAAGGCTCGGCCACCAGCAACCGGAGATTCTGGATGCCAAGTCCAGCTATGCGCTTGGCATACCCAAGCTCCTCGTCCGTCATGGGCGGCGGGATCGTCTTCACCGGATAGGCATTCCACCGATCAGAGAATGGCATCGGGGAGCCTACCCCGGCCAGGAAGAAACGTTCTTCCCAGCCGTCCGGATTCCCAGCATTGTTCGAAAACAGGACCATGGACGGACGGGCGATCAGTGTCAGGTACCCCGTGCGTCCGAAGGGGGACAGCCGGAAGAAGTGGTTCAACAGGTCCACGGTGGGGGTCACACCGACGCTATGGCACCTAATGATGAAGCCGGCGATGATCCTATATGCGGCAGGGACGAACTGCGCAGGCACTATCTCAAGGGCCCTGAAAAGCTCCAGGTGGAAGCTATGCAAGGGAAAGTTCAGCCCGGCTATCACCGAATCCAAGTGGACCACCACATAGCCGGGCAGATGGCGCATGGGGTTGCGCAGACTCCGATCGTCGTAGGACCTTGGAGGATAGAACCATTGGCTGATCAGACGCTTGTCAGCGTTCGTCAGGCGTTGAACTTGACGCCGAACGCACGAGAAGCTGAGGCTATAACGGGGAGGCCGAGGCGGCATCCCCCGCTCATAATACTCTAAGTCATCGCCAGAAGAACAACCGTCGTCGAAACGGGTTTCAGAGGTCATGGCAACGAACGGTACCTTGGAGGTTCGAGATTCGGCACGGTTGGAAGAACTCTAGAGAGAGGAAGCAATTGTGCAGCGTAAGGAGAAGTATGAATGAATCACGTGGGTTCTGGGTACTTATAGGCAGCACTGTGGGATCGCGCCAACCGAGGTAGGACACGTGGCGCCTAGATACCGGTACCTACCACAATATTTAAGGCGCCTCGATTTCGTCGCCGCATAACCGCGACAAAGAAATCCGGATTGATGCCACGAACGTCTCCCCACGAAGCTTGGGTAGGGCGCGCGCAGCATGGATATTCATGCTACGCAACAGTAGACGAACGTCGTTACTAAATACAGGTTCTGGGAAGGACGTTCGTATCTCCACACTTGAGAAGTCTACTACTGATTCTGGCAACCACCGACGAACGTCGTCTCGCGGGAAGCGAAAACGAATGCAGTCAGCGTTCGGTGGTATGCTCGCATTGTGAGATGGACGTCGCTGACAGAATACTGTTGCCGGGCGACAAGCCAGCATCAACGCCGAGCGTCGTCACCAAAAGATGAACTCTAGCGGTACATTCGCACACGTGAATACGTACGGAGGTATGGCAGGGAGAAGCCGTTGCCCTAAACAAAATAAGGAACAGATATGAACGTCCTTGCAGACCTTAACCTTGCTACAAGTGTATCGAGGCACCGAGGGAGATTCCACATAACAGGCGATAAGAGAAACAGAAACAATGAAGTAAAGATCATGAACGTAGAGACAATTTTGGGCAAAAAGGTGTATATTCTTCAGCTCTAACGGCTGGACATTACAAGTCCAAAATGAAAGGTACAAATTACATCACACCATAAAGGGAGACTCTGGCCGGCTGCCTCCCGGGGTCTGCTCTTCCTCTTCCGCTTCAGGCTCGGGGGTCGGGGGCTCCGGGATCTCCCCTCTGGCCTTGGCCTCTTCTCGACGTTGATCCCTCCCCAGCTTCCCTAAGGCTTGGAGCAGCAGATCGTCATCTGTGTTGGCAGCCAGCTCAAAATCGGCCCCTTGCAACCTCGAGAAAATGGGGAGAGTGGCCTTAACCCCCTCATTGTAGCCAGCGGCGAAGGTGCTGTGGCCTTAACCCCCTCATTGTAGCCAGCGGCGAAGGTGCCGGCAGCATCGGCGACATCAGTGGATGTGGAAGCAGAAGAGGTGGGCTGCTCATTGGGAAGAATGTGGTCAATGACCTGGTAAGCTCTGGCAGTAATCTTAAAAAGCTCAGCCCAAGTGGAGTACTGAACATTTTCAAGATCTAGGGTAATAGGGATGAGATTGCGGATATTAGTGACCGCAAGAGCGGGATGAAAGGAAGCCATGGAGAAAAAAGGATCGAAGTCTGATACCAAGTTAGAAATTGTAGAAGAGTATTTGGGAGAATTTTCTTGATCTCATTCGTAGGTTCCGAGGCCTTTTAAATAGCACTCTCGAGATATACATTACTAACAGATTTAGCTATATATGTGCTGGCTATGCTAATCGTATAAGTCATTAACCTATCTAGATACAATGACAAAGGCTAAACTAACAAGATAAGAATACTTCGTAGCCGCAGGAGTAGCAACGGAAGAGCCATGCATTGATGTGCTGCTACGTAAATATTTGTACATGAATAACAATAATAATTTACATGCTAACAATTAGTGTTAAATAGTCTCCTCAAAGTGCTAGCTCGACCCCTAAACGTCGACACGAAAACAGTCCCTAGAACGGGTGTTTTCCGGCGAATTCGTTCCTAACCTTTCAAGGTTTTGTCTAGGTTAGTATCTAACCCTTCCAACAATTAAAGTCACTTTATAATAACATTTTATACACATCAACCAGTGTATAATAGTTCTTCAATCATTTATATGATTTAGACAATAGAGAGGAAGGTTTTGGATTCAAACTTACTTTGAATACAAAAACGTATTCTGCGAGGTCGTGTTTTGTTCGGACTATTTGGAGGCCTTAAACTGCTCCGTTATCTTCAAACCGCACGTCTATGGATTCCTCTTCTTGAGAGCTTTCAGTGGACACCTCACACGCCCTTTTTGGATGAGTATTTCTCAAGATACAAACCAAACAGTGAGCTCCACGAGCTGGAGGTTATCCCTGCGGCCAGCTCCCTTATCTCTCTCTCTTTTGAGTGTGAGGCTCTCCCTTCTTTCTTATCTCTTTCAGTTCGAAAGGGGGGGTGAGGAGGAGGTGTTTAGGAGCTCTCAAAGTGATATCTAAGCATGTGGTTCACAAAAAGAAAGGTAGGATGTTTGATTGCACTCAAACATGGGGTGGACCTCCCCTTTTATTTCCTTTTTGTAATGTTGTAGCTCTTGAGTCAAAAGTTCGCCCCACATAGTTGTCTCACCCATTCTTCTTTGTTTTGCAGGTAGGTACTAAGGTCATGTGGAGTGGTTCCCAACTAATCCCAATCAATTTGGGGTCCAAAATATCTACCAATACTTCCAAAAATTGGAAGATGGGTCCTATTGTTTTATCTTTTGTCAAAAGATGTCTTTTTGTACACATTGTAATTTATATAGACCAAGTCAACTCCCTACATCATATTATTGATCTCCAATATGTGTAGGATCATCCCAATAATTTACATGATGAATATTATAGAAGAAACAACCTACTCCCATTATTTAGCTCAATAATGTCAAAGGTGGGACCATAGGTGTTTGTATTCTTCCCAAATCATCCTATCACTTATTTTAACATTATCATTCATATTATTGGACTACTAGTCGTGTGGGTTACCCTCAAGTGGGCTAAGGGCACCACTCTTGAATACTTACTATTTTTAGCATGTTGAGCCCGAAATGATGTTTGGGCCGCCCGACCTCCCTTAGTTGCATCAAAAGATTATGTATCATTATTTAGATAATGTTGGGCTCTTATATTTAATAAGATGGACCCAAATAAGTATTTGAAGCCCATCACTAATATACAAGCTCAACGGTAAAATGATCAACCATGCGTTACATAAAACAACGATTGTCTTACAATTGTTTGGTAAATGGAAATTCAATGCATAAACTTTGCATTTAAATTTGAATTTCAAGGACGCTCGGGTGCGGTGTCACACTACACCTCAGTCATAAACGAAAAAAAAAACAAAAATGCAACACATACGAACAAAGGATATGCTCACCACGAAAGGCATCACCTCGGATTCAACTACAAACGAATGCAGAAGTCAAAGTGCAGGATCAACATCGAACTACTCAAAATTGAAAAAAAAAACACAAAAATGCAACAAATACGAACGGAGGCTATGCTCACCATGGAAGGCATCACCTTGGATCCAACTACAAACAAATGCAAGAAGTCAAAGTGCAATATCAACATCGAACTACTCTACTCCCTTTCACTTTGAAGCTACTCAGCTCAGAGAGTGGGAGGCTCCTTATAGAGTATATGGGCTCAGATTCACGGCCCACTCACTTTTGGATACACAATTTTCCAAGCCCATCACGCCACTGAAGATCTCTCAAGCAATCTCAGAGGTGGCACCTCAAAGGATGGAGAAAACAGCTATGTTCGTACATTCACCTCAGAGGCCACCACCTCAAAGGTGGCACCTCGGCCACAGATCTCAGAAGATCATCCAGAAGCAAGGACAACACTGCACTTGGGGTGCACCCCTGCACCTCGGCCATCGTCACTGCCTCATTACTACTATAAATACTCCCTTTGGGGGTAGTGATAAAGGGTTAGACTCCCATTAATACATTGTATTTCTCTCTCTAAACTCTGGCTCTCCCTTCTCTTTAACAATACCACCAGCGTTTTACCAGGAAGCTATCAATTCAATTACCTATTAGATTAAATGTGTAGAGAGAGCTTTTCATTATTCCAGACAATAGTTGCAGACTAGAGTGAGAAATAATGTAGAGTGCAATCATTTCTTCGATCATTTTTGTATCTTTAACAGATCCATTTCTACTCCATATTATGTTCTATTTGTATGTGTTATATTTGTCTGAGATCATTATCTTCTATACACCGAATCCAGGATTTACACATACTATTACCATAAATACTCTTATTATATTTACGGTAATACCGTACCTAAATTTGACTACTCTTTCACGTCGGTTTCTACCCGAAAATGACATATACTTTTTGAAATTAAATAAAAGTTTTACACGTCGGTTGTATAGAACAACCGACGTTAAATGTAGGCGAAAAATAATTTTGCAACATATAACCATGTCGGTTATACGTTACAACTGATGTGAAGTCATACTAGGAAATAAATCTTACCACGTCAGTTATATGGAATAAATGACAAGATAAGTAATTTAATTAAAATTAAAAAATTCTATAACGTTGGTTTCAAGACCGACATAATAGATACCGAACTACAACGCCGGTTTCAAGACCGACGTAATAGATGCCTACCTATAACGTCTAGACATTCCTCCTCACTTACAAAACCAACGTTATAGGGACAAAAAAAAAACTGACGTCATAACTTGTTTAAGTAGTAGTGCCAGGAGCATATTTATATACTCCCTCCGGTTCTGATTCTTCTTTACACTTTCCTTTTTGGGCTGTCCCAGAATCATCTTTACACTTCCTTATTTACCTTATTTGGCAAACAAATCTACATAAAACAGTGCCAAACAGTGTACTGTACAGTAAAAGTCAAATTTATTTCCTAAAAACCTGTGAAGTCAAAGTGTAAAGAAGGATCAGAACCGGAGGGAGTATAAGAAAGCTGAAAAATAGGAATATGCAGTTATGCACGTGTAAAGCAGACAAGAACACATTTAGAGATACAATTGTTATACTAAGAAAATCACAGGATATTGTCGTATCCTAAATGAATCATACGGGAAAAAGCATATGAAGAGACGCTTGATGTATCGAGAAATAATGTAAAAGAGATTATTCCTTTTATAAATGAATGATCATTTAAATACTGTCGTTTGAAACGATTATTGATAGAACTATGGACATACTAGGGGCTCTTTACTTTTGACACAATGGATTTAGTGAGAATGTTAACCGTATCGTTCAGTCATTAAATCATATTTACTTACAACTTAATTGAAAGCATAATTTAATCATTCAGTCATTAAACTGACTTACTCATTAAGCTTAATCATCCATACGTCTTAATCGAAAATATGAAAAATAAACATCCTAACAATAATTATACATGGCCATTCATCCGACAATCCGACCATTTATGAGGTACACCCGAGTGTACATGCACACCCGGTACTTTTGTAAATATTTGCAAGGTGGAGGTTATTAATTAGGGAGCAAGTATTGCTTCCTTCGTTTTTCTCTTTGTCTGATGCACTCTTCCAGCTTTCTCTTTCAGTTTTTCTTTTTTTTCTTTTGTATTTTACATTCTCCTCCACTCACTTATCAAGTTATCATTCGTATCTTTGCTTTTCAATTTTTTTTTTCTTTTTATGCTTCGTTTTTTCGTTTTCTTTTCTCTTAATTTTGACCTTGAATTTTTGTAACATTAACTTTTCTTTTGCCAAAAAAGGCTTTAACTTTTCCTTTTCTTTTTTCTGCTTCCGTTTTACTTTTTTTGTTTTCCTTTAATTTTGAACTTTGACTTTTAACTTTAGTTTTTCTTTTTCTATTTCTGCTTCCATTTTTTATTTTTATAAATATCTTTTGTCTTCTGCTCCTCCAATTTTGAACTACTATTTCCTTTTTATTTTTATGTAAACTTTTTACAAGGGTTTTTTCTTTCTTGCAATTCTTTCAAAAAATCACATCGAATGGCAATTTAATAAAAACATATACCTTTCTCACTCTTCTATTAAAATGTGCAACCTTCTAAATAATTAAGAGTATATTATTTAAATTAAATGTGCATTGATATAATTTATAAAAATAAGCACAATAAAATTGATTGGTCTGAAATAAGAAATCAGTGCTTCTTTATGTTGTACTGATATGAGCATACACAAATTGATATTTGAGCATACTAGAGATTTTCAATGTGATTTTTAAATTTTTCGATATTCATTTCGTAAGTTATCTGTGCTCATTTATTACTGGTATAATGCTCATTTTAAAATGAGTATTACATCACACATTTTAAAATGTCATATCTATGCATATTGGTGTAATGCTCATTTTAAATTTTTCGATGCTCATTTCATAGATTATGCATTCTCATTTAATATTTGAGTATACTGGAGATTTTAAATAAGCTTTTTGAATTTTTAGATTCTCATTCAGTAAATATGTATGCTCATTTGATAAAGGTGTAATGTTCATTAAGTAAGTTACATATGCTCATTTGGTATTGATGTTATGCTCATTTATAAATGGCATACCAATGAAAATTTCAAAAATACCATTACATTAGATTTGCATATTGAAATTCATATGAATGTGTATAAATATAATTTAATAGGTTTGATGCTCATTAAGAGTTCATTAATGCTCATTCAACAGAAATCGTGATTTTCATCTCAATAACGGATGTTTGATGCTCAATGAAAATGTCTTAATATTCAATTAACAAACCTTACGATTTTCAAAATGCTCATTAACTTACGCAATTTGTAAGTTATGTGTGCTCATTTAGTATTGACGTTATTCTCATTTTTAAAATATCATATCAACGCTGATGAAATTGACGCTCAACATAATAGGTTTGATGCTCATCAAAAGTGCATTAATGCTCATTTAACATAAACCGTGATTTTCATCCTAATAGAGAAGGTTTGATGCTCAATGAAAATCTTGTGATGCTAAATACTAACAAACCTTACCATTTTCATTTCAATGAGCATTTTGTAAGTTATGTATGCTCATTCCGTACTAGTGTTACGCTTATTTTTAAAATGTCACATCAATGCATATTTTAAAGGAAAAATTCACATGAATAATCTCAACTATTAGTCATCTTCTTATAATAATCGCAAATGTTGATAATATCATTATAATCCCAATTATAGTGAGTATCTTCTCAAAACGATCTGGTGACCTGTTTAAACCAATTTAGCAGGTCACCTATACACGTGACATATTCTCATTGGTTGTTTTAATTTTCTTCTTTTTTCCTTATTTCTTTTTCGTTCCTCTTTTTCTTTCGTCTTCCATGGATCCGAGACGATTTCTGATTTTTCCTTATTTCTTTTTCGTTCCTCTTTTCCTCTTATTTTCCATGGATCCGAGACGATTTCTGATCACAAATATAATACGAAGAAGGCTGCTAGCAGCGGGCTGTTTTTTCCCATGTTCTTCCTTTTTTAAATCTCTCCTTCTTTACCGTGTGTGGCCATGGATACGGAGTGGCTATGTTCAATGATGTTTTTCTCTACAATGTTTTATTCGAAGTAGTATTTATTCAAAAATACTGGGTAACTTAACAGAAGAACAGAGTGAAGAAGAAAGAAAAGCTCTTTAAGAGTGGAGTGAAAGATCGAAAATTTATTATGACCCAGAGAGTATATACTCTCTCCAGGGAGTTTTATCTCGATCAATGGTTTATTAATGGAAGAACTGAGCGAAGAAGAAAGAAAAGCTCTTTAAGAGTGGAGTGAAAGATCGAAAATTTATTATGACCCAGAGAGTATATACTCTCTCCAGGGAGTTTTATCTCGATCAATGGTTTATTAATGGAAGAACTGAGCGAAGAAGAAAGAAAACCTCTTAGAAGAAGCAAAATTGCTCCCCAGCCTTATGCCGCTCCAATCTGACATCACTCTAGGTTTTCCCAGCTTTCTCGACAAACTCTTTCCCGATTTTCTTCCTCTCTTTTCTTCTTCATCGTTAGTGGCTATGGTTACATTGATCTTTTCTTTTGTTTTTTTTTTCTTTTCTCCTTCCACCGCATCTAGAAGCTTATCCCCCATTTGTTTTAAGTTTTTCATCAATCCATGATAAATTTACATTCCTGGAAATTTGGATAGAATAGATCAGGTCGCAAAGTAGACAGAGGAGAGGGCGAACGCTGAGGTGGAGGAACGCTGGAGATGGATCGGAAGACGACTCATGCCGGTGAAAAAGCCTCTATTATTAACTTTTTTACCGGTTTAGCAAGTTCCCAGTAACCTGAGATCAATTTGGGAAGAGAGCCCATAAAGTTAGGATTATTTTAGAATTACCCATAGTTGAGTAATAGTTGAGATTATTTATGTGAATTTTTCCTATTTTAAAAGTATCATATTACATTAAATTTGCATATTAAAATTCATATGAGTGAAATATAGATATAATTTAATAAGTTTTTATAAAAGAAAAAATAAGAAAAAATTTGAATTGGAAGATATGAAGCAGAGATCGTGATGTTCATTGTTATCCTTCTAATACTCAATAAAATAGGTCAGATGCTCATTGAAAACACACTAATGCTAATTTAACTGAATCTGCGATTTTTCACTTAAATTACAAAAATGCCACCGAAAAAAATTGGACTGTATTAGTTAATGGGCTGTCTTCCTCAACTGGGCTGGAGTTGGATTAAGGATGGCAATGGGGTGGGGCGGGGCTTGGGGTGGGGCGGGGGCGGGGATGGGTGAAATATTTTTACGCCGTTAAAATATGGGGCGTGGGACGGGTATTGCTACACCCGCCCCGTCCCCGCCTCGTCCCTGTTATAAATATATACTCATATATATATATATATATATATATATATATATATAGGGGAAAGATCAAGTACAAAGTGTGCTTATTGTGCAAATATTTGTACGATGCACCTTGACGTTATTTGCATTGCATATTGAGGTTCAAAGTATTGCACATTATAAAGTCATAAAAATAGCAGTTGCACATTAAGGTGCAACGAGTTGCACCCTAAAAAGTTGAGTTTTATTACAAAAATGCCACCTTGCCTTTATGTCCTTTGGATCAACTCATCGGACGGTCAAGATGAGTTTGTACTATATATATATATATATATATATATATATATATATATAGGATTGTCATCTTTAAAGCCTGGTACTGCCAAAACATGACAGTAATTAGTCCTATTTTGGGAATAAAAACATGGCAGTCCTATTTTTGGAATATATAAGTGTTTTTAGTCCTATTTAGGGTAATTTGAATAATTACCCTAAATAAGTTTTTATAAAAGAAAAAATAAGAAAAAATTTGAATTGGAAGATATGAAGCAGAGATCATGATGTTCATTGTTATCCTTCTAATACTCAATAAAATAGGTCAGATGCTCATTGAAAGTACACTAATGCTAATGTATCGTGATGGGAATAAAAACATGACAGTCCTAATTTGAATAGTCCTATTTAGTCCTTTTCCTGTCCGGCCAGGCCGGACAGGGGAGTGGTCCGGCTTGGCCGGACCTGAATAATTCTCTATATATATAGGGATGAGTTCAAATGAGAAGACATCTTAACGTGTAAAATGAGAATTAATCTCAACCGTCCAAATTATCGATCTTATGCACATTAACCCCTATGTAATGCACTTTCTAATTAACCCCTATTTGATGCACTTTTCGAAAAGTGCATCAAAGAGGGGTTAATTAGAACGTGCATTAGATAGAGGTTAATGTGCATATGATCGATAATTTGAACGGTTGAGATTAATTCCCATTTTACACGTTAAGACTTTTGTTTATTTGATCCAAATTATATATATATATACATATATGTATATATATATATATATATATACATATATGTATATATATATATATGTGTGTGTGTATATATATATATAGTAGTCTTCATGTCAGGTCGGCCTGACGGGATGCTCCGTCCGGCCGAGGGCATTTCGGGCACTTCCTGGTGGAAGTTTTGGATGAATTTTTTTGAGCATGTTCTTCATGAAGTCTAGTTTATCCATACCAAATTTCAGCTAAATATTCAATCGGGAAGGCGCTCAAATAATTTCTTTAAGTTAACTGGGCAGTTTATATGTATGAACTGCCCAGTTAACTTCAAGAAATTATTTGAGTGCCTTCCCGATTGAATTTTTAACTGAACTTTGGTATGGATAAACTAGACTTCATGCAGAACATGCTCAAAAAATTTCATCAAACAATTCCACCGGGAAGTGCCCGAAATGCCCTCAGCCGGACGGAGCATCCCGTCAGGCCGGCCTGACATGAAGATTTGTCTATATATATAGGTAAGAGATCAAATACAAACCATGCTTAAAATACTAACCTACAAACTCAATAATATGCAATACTTTGAACTTCAATATGCAGTACAAATAATGTAAAGATGCACACTGTGAATTTCAATATGCATTACAAATAATATGCAGCACTTTGAACTTTAATATGCAGTACAAATAATATGCAACACTTTGAACTTCAATATGCAATACAAATAATGTAAAGATGCACATTTTGTGACAGCTTGTAGGTTAGCATGGGAAGGCTAGTTTGTATGTGAACTTCAATATATAAATAATGTACACTCATATTAGATTAAATTATTTGTAGTACATAACAAACGCATATACATATAGACATACATAATTGTATACGGTTTAATCATGGTTAATGAATTAATATATATTATACTCGAATAATAATAAGTTAGTGATGATTAAAAATATTTATCATAAATGTTACTTCGTATATGAGTTTTAAGAGTGGGAAAGTGAGTAAATAAATACACACACATTAATATGTAATATAATACGTAGTATGTAATTAATTGTATTATAATTGTTGAGAATTTTGAAACAACGTACATGATGATAATATGTTTACTTATATTTTTACTTTAATTGTCTTCAATTCACAAAACTTATTTAAATTGAAGAATTATTAAAATTGGTGGTATTAACTTTTAACAAACACAATACTTCAGAGTGTGTGTGTTGTGTGTGTGTAAGTGTATCATATATCATTGTGTGCGCGTAGATATATATAGGTTTAGGATCAAATGAGAACAACGTTTAACATGAGAACGTGCGAACACCACATTTTCCCCCAATGTGAAGCACAATGGGCTCGCACAATGCACTTTTTGTATCTAGCATAATATTTACAAAAGTGACACCATGATTATTTATATTAGCTTGTATTGAGCGAAATCCAAATGTGCACTAGAATGGCTCTATTGTGTATCACATTGGATTATTGTGTATCACATTGGATTAAATGTGAGTGTTCCCACGTTAACCATCATTTTCATTGGAATCGCACTACATATATTTATAATAAGAGATTAAAAGTATATGCAAATACGATAAATTAAATCTACATGGGGGCACCCGTGGGAACCCGTGGGGGACAATGGGGGGGGGGGGGCGGGGATGGGGCGGGTCAGGGAGTAACGGAGGATGGGGCGGAGATGAGGGGAACTTTTTAGACATGACGCGGGAATGGGGGAGTGTACCCCGCCCCAAACCCGCCCCATTACCATCCCTAGACTGGATGTACCTCCACCTGGTTGTAGGATATAGGAGCTGCATTCATGTTATTCACAATCTCTTTAAATATTACTCGTGTATGTCTTGGGACCTAAAATCCATGATGTAATTTAATAATTTCGAATTAAAGTTGGGTTGATCAACATCTCGTCAAGTCAAACCAGGCCCATATCTCCAAGTCTTGACCCTTCAAGCTCAACCTCTTGGATTATTGGTAGGGTTGATCGGTTTTTGACAACAAACATCAGTCTAGAATAACCAAGAGACTTGCTTGGGTGGGGTCACTGACGGTGGCAAGATAGAAATACTCCCTCCGTCCCTTATAACTTTGCCAACTTTCCTTTTTTGGATGTCTCAATAACTTTGCCACTTTCCCATTTAAGTAAAGAATTTGTGGTTCCAGTTAATTCTCTCTCCTCTGCACAAACCTCAACCACACAGTTTTTACTTTATTAATTCCCGTGCCGGTCAAACTTGGCAAAGTTATTAGGGACGGAGGGAGTATGAGTTAGCCACATTGAGAAGATGGAAACACCCAAAATACCCATCCATATAAAAACAAAACGTTTTTCTCGCCCGTCCTCCTCGTCAGGTCTCATTCAAACGTCAATTCACCGAATTGCTTAAACCCCCATTATCATATTGTAATCATGTTAATCACCCATGCTTAACTCTCATTACCGGTAACTCCTCAATATGGTACTGTAATTACGTTAATTAATAATTAATCGCCCTAACGTTAACCCCCGTCAGTCAACGCATCGCAGTATCTTTGTTTATTACTAAAAAGCCCTTGTCCTTTTTGGTCTATATCCCCTTTAGAAGAATACTGTAGTAGTATATCTCCTCCTTATTCCGCTTCAAATCTCTCCACCCAAATTCGAAGCAGTGAAGTAGGAATAGCAATGGAGCATCCGTTCTTCATCCCCAACCCTAACCTGACGGAGGCGGCTCTGCGGTGGCTGAGCATCGCCGAGAAGTTGCTTGCGAACCGTGACTTGATGGGGAGCAAATCGTTTGCGACCCGGGCGCAAGAGTCCGACCCGACCCTCGTTCACGGCGGTCAAATCCTCGCTATCATCGACACTCTTCTCGCCGGCGATAAGCTCATAAACAATCAGCTCGATTACTACGGCATCCTCCAGGTGCCGCCTGACCAGACCCATGACTCCGATTTGATCTCTAATCAGTATCGCCGACTCGCCGTCCTCCTTGACCCTCGGAAGAACAGCTTTCCCTACGCCGACCAAGCATTCCGTCTCGTGTTTGATGCCTGGAATGTGCTCTCCGACCCAATGAGGAAAAGCATGTATGATAAAGAGCTAGGGTTCTTCATAAACCTCAACCCGAATCCGGTTTCTGCCGCTCTGAACCCTATACCCCCTCAGCAGCAGCAGCCGAATGCTTTCACCGTCGTTTCTAACTCCGGGAGAGAACAACAGCAGCAGGCGCCGCCGCAGCAGATGTTCTTCACCAGTAGAGAGCAGCAGCAGCAGCAGCAGTCGTTTGCCTCAGGGCAACCGCTAACCTTTCCGAGCCGTGAACCGGTTCAGCAGCACCCAGTTCATCAGCAACCGGTTCAGCAGCACCCAGTTCATCAGCAATCAGTTCAGCAGCACCCAGTTCATCAGCAACAGGTTCAAACAATGGCCTTTCTGCAGCAGCCGTTTTCCGGCAGGGATCAACAGCAACCGCAACCTCAACAGGCTCAACCGTTTACATTTCTGAATCGTCAGCAAAGCCCTCAGGTAACCTCTATTCCCAGAATGAATGTAGATAAACTGCCTACTGTCACCCCTATGCCGGGTTTGAGTAGAGAACCACATCCATTTTCATTTGGTCCTAGTTCTAGTCATGCCCAACTACCGCAGGTCTCTCCCACTGAGAACTCTTCTCTGTATGATGAAAGGAATGAGCAAAATGTGGGTTTTGAAGGAAATAACCTGTCTGATGATAATGTGAACCAACCTAAAGAAAAAGAGGGGGAGGTAGATGAAACAAACAATGTTGAACTAAACGAGGATGAGCCAAAGAATGACATCCCTAGCTTCTGGACTGCCTGCCCATACTGTTATCACATGTTTGAGTATCCTGAGGCTTATGTTGACTGTACATTGCGCTGCCAAAATTGCAAAATGGCATTCCAGGCTGTGGTGATTTCTTCTCCACCTCCAATTATTGATGGTAAGGAAGCTTACTTTTGTTGTTGGGGATTTTTACCCTTGGGATTTTCTGTATCTATTTGGGAGAAATACAAGGATAAGGCAACATCATGGACTCCATTTTCTCCCATGTTTAGTACGCCTCAAGCCGGTGGGGCAAATGTAGGAAATGTGTATCACTCTGTTGTTAGGCCGGGGAATGTTAACAACCGTAGTGGATATGGTGGGAGTGGAGTAAAGAAGCAACATCAGAAAGTAATTGTTGATGACGATGTGTATGTAAACTTACTATCTGACTCTAATGACGAGTCTGATGTGGAATGGAGAAATGAGAGTAGTACGAAGAGAAAGAAAGCAAAGAGAGTGAAGGGAAAGGTGAGGGTGACTGGAACCCCGAAAACTACTAGGAAGATACAATCTGAGAATGGAAAGAATGTAAAAGCTAATAATGCTGGGGATAGTTTTCAAAATGGGCCCCGCATGCCCGCTGAAAAGGTCAAGAAAGGTGTGGTGAACAACATAAGGAGGCAATCTGGCAGCGCTGCTAAAGGAAAACTGGATTTGAATGTGGAGTTCAGTAATGAGGTTGAGGAGCCCCCACCGGTAATGAATGGACAAATGGGAAGAGGAGAGGAAGATGGAATTGAAGGGAATGGGTTTTTTGAGGGTCTTGATGAATTCCTAAGCAGTCTTCCTATTCTCAATGCTGTTGGTGATGAGAATAAGGTTAAGGCAGCTTAGTCAGGTTTAGACTTTCCCTTTTGTTGTAATTGTAGCCCTCTAGTCTAGCTTTTGCCCTTTTTGTATGTAGTAAGGGAACAGCATAAGCAGTGTCCTGATGGCTTGCTCTACTCTAAACATTTGCATTTTGTATGTTTTTATGAAACAGTGTAGAGCTGCTTGGATGCTTATCTTGATTGTTTTTCTCCTGTAGCTTTTGCGCTACAAATAAGGTGGAAGTCAATCTTCTTCTTTCTGTTTTTATTTTGTTTTATTTATTTTTTATTTGTTGTAGTTGCAATTATCAGTTTAATACTTTTGTTTTCTTCACTTGAGCGGTAACTGAAAAAGCTAGCAGCTTAAGGTGTTTTACTCTGTTATAGCGTCCATTTTTCTGTCTGATATTTTAGATTACAATTTTGCTTCTGTAATACGGGGTATATCAAAAGGAACTACATTGCCTTACTGTGGTTGTATTTTGCAGGAACCAATTGTCCACCCATTGAGTTTTGAATAGAAAGAATCTTATTTTAGCTGTAATTACTTGATTATCTGAGTTCTTGTCTGGTAGAACAACTTATCTGCTTATCTGCATACTAAAAGCTTGCTTTGTTTTTTAGATAAAGTCTTTTAGAACAATTGAACAACTTAAAAGATTGGAAATTTTTCTGTCTTTTATACTGAACATTGAACAATACTTGCTACTCTTATTTTGTAGATTAGAATATCAATCACAGGATTCACAGATCACTTGCAGTAGTTCTCATTGTTGGAAATTGGAATCCCTTGTTTCTGATTTTGTAAAATGAAAATTTTACAAGCAGTTTTTCTTTTTTTATATTTATCTACCACTCATGTCATAGAACTACAAAACGGAAAATTAGGGCCTGTTTATTAACAGAGATATTTTCCGGTTTTTAACTTCTGTTTTTTGTTCTCCAATTTTCTGTTTTTATTTTTAAGTTTTTCTATCTCCAATTTTCTGTTTCTATTTTTTATTTTCCATTTTCAAATTTGAAAACATGTTCTTCAATTTTTTCACTCAGTTCTCCAATTCCACACTCTTGACCCTTGCCCTTACCCTTACCACGATCTCACACTCTACCCATACTCCCCCACAACCCTTCATACCCACCCATACCTACTCGTAGGTGTTGGGGTAGTGGGTAGCGGTGGGGTAAGGGGGTATGGTCGGAGTGGGGTGGTAAGGTCTAGGGGTAGGGGGGTTGGGTGAGGGTAGTGGGTGGGTTACGGTCGTGGTTAAGGGTAGGAGTTGGGGTAGTGGGTAGGGTTGGGGTAAGGTAGGGGTAGGAGTTGGGATAGGATGGCGGTAGGGTGGGGCCGGGACTAGGGTGGGATTGAGGTAGGGAAGGGGTAGGGTGGGGGGGTAGGATGGCGGTAAGGGTGGGGGGTAGTGGGTAGGGTTGGGGTTGGGATAAGGTAGGGGTAGGGAGTTGGAATAGGTTGGCGGTAGGGTGGGCCCGAGATCCAGGTGGGGCCGAGGTAGGGGAAGGGTAGGGTGGGGGGTAGGATGGCGGAAGGGTGGGGGTAGGATGACGGTGGGGTGGGACCGAGGTAGGGGGATGTGGTAAGGGGCAAGGTAGGGGTGGGGTAGGGTGGGTCAGGGTGGGGTCGAGGTGGTAGGGTAGGGTGGATCGGGGTGGGGCCAAGGTAGGGGCATGTGGTAGGGGGTGGGGTAGGGTCATTATAGGGAAAATGGGTAAGCGGGGTGGGGGTTGGGTTGGGTAGGATAGGATAGGGTAGGGGTAAGGTACGAGGATGAAGGTATCGGAATGGAATTGACATCGGAGTGAGACCGGACCCGCCATTAGGTGTAAGTATGCAAATTCATTGCAACGACACTGTAGCATCTGCATTTTCTAAATTTGGAAAATTAGTAAAAGACCTCTCCAAATCATTAAGAAAAAGAGAGACATGTCTCATTTTTTTCGTTTTGGAAAACGATTTGGTTAACGCGTTTTTCTTTTTTCCTTTTTCCAGTTTTCTAGCAATTTATTTGGTAAACACGTTTCCAGTTTTCCAATTTTCTGGAAAACTAGAAAATATCTCTGTTAGTAAACAAGCCGTAAGCTTGTGCACTTTTTGAAATATACACAAACATGATCTTTATAGGGGAAGTTGTGAAATATAATTTCCTATTATGCCCAAAATAAAGACTAAATTGTTTTCCTATTAAGAAACACTTAATAAATTAAGTTTTTTTTTCTTTTATCTTTCTTTTACTCTTGTTTCCTTCTTTCTATTTCTTCCTTTTATTACTTTCCGATAGCAACTTCCAAGGAAAACCCTCAAGAGTGTATTCTCTTGACACATATAGCATCCTTTAGTTTCTTTCCTATGACAGATTGACAGCCTCTTCTTCATGTCTTTCGAGATATTCTTTTCTTTCAGTGCAGTTGGCAGCAACAACAAATGAAGCATGGACACGAGAACCGGGTTGGCTGCAGGTGCCAAGGACGCAGAGTTGCTCGAAGGAAACAATAACAGTGGACATTCACCGATGAAGAGAGAAAATAAACTTTGGATTAGATGAATTGCTTTAGAGGAAATTAACTACACAAATGTTGTAGGGTATAAAGGAGTTTCAAGGGATCAACTGAATCAAATTGCTGCCCTTTTCAAGGGAAACATCCAATTACCAAGTAATAGTAGTGTTGGACCCGGGCCGGGTCAAGGCCCGGTCGGGCCTCGGGTCCAATAATAGTAGGCCCGGGACCGGCCCGGTCAATGACCGGTTCCGGTTCGGGCCGGGCCACCCGCCCGGGTCACGGGTCGGGCCACCCGCCGGGCCGGGCCGGGCCATTATATATATTTTTTTATATTAATTATATATTATACAAATTGCTATTAAAAACAAAGTTCAAGTGCATTTATTTGAAATAAGAACTACATTTGAGAATTGAGAAAAAAACAACAATACGAAATACATTTTGTAATGAATATCAATTGGGATTTCCGCCACCGTTGGTTGTTGTTTTCCCTTTGTCACAAGACTTCATATGTTTTATTGGCATCCCGTATCCGTATGAACGGGATACGGGATAAGGCATATTGTGCACGAAATTCATTAAATAAGGCATAAAATAAAGTACTAACCTCGTTGTATTCCGTTTTCGGATCTATGGGGTTATCGTCATACATTGGAAATTCACCGAAAAACGCAAGATAATAGAAGTTGAAACAATCTTCCAAATTAGCAAGTCTATAACGAGGATCGAGAATAAATGCAATACCATAAATATGGGGAATATGCGCATAATATTTTAAAAACTTTTCCTTCATATGATCACAAAAATAATGAACGAAAACGGCATTTTGAAATTCTTTAAAAGCATCGGCGAGATTAACAGCTTGTGGAATAAATTGGTTTGCGGTAGGTTTATAAACATGACTAAAAGTTTCAGTAGCATTAAAAAAATATATCAAAACATTACAAATTTTTTCGCAAGTGTCGATCTCAGCCGCGTTTATAATATAGTTATCATGTTCTTTTAAAAAAGCAGTAAAATGTTCTTTATATCTAAGAACAACTTTAAGTAATTTATAAGTACTATTCCAACGAATACTCAAATCTTTAGGAAAAGCAACATATCTCACACCTCTTTCAGTCAAATAACTTTGCCATTTTAATCTAAGTTGACCATTACCCCACATACGTCTAATCCCCCCCTTTATTACCTCCATGGAATCTCCTAACGCTTTTAAACCGTCTTGCACACATAAATTTATAACATGACATGCACAGCGTTGATGAAAAAATCTACCCATCAAAGAATTGGCACCACACAACTCACGCAATCTAGGTATAGCAGCAGTATTATTAGTAGCATTATCGAAACCAATAGCAAACACCTTATCAATAAAATTATACTCAATTAAAATACGCTCAATCAAAATATAAATATGTTCAGCGGTGTGACGATCATTAAATTCACGAAAAGCAAGAACACGTTTATGCATATTCCAATCCTCATCAATATAATGTGCAGTCAGACCCAAATAATATAAATGATGAAAATCATCCTCCCATATGTCAGAACAAATAGTAACACGCCCATCAAAGTTTGCAAAAAAAATTTGCAACCTTACCTTTTCCGCATTATAAAGCCTTATTATTTCTTTCTTAACAGTTTTGCTACTATAATTTCTAAATTGAGGATTTAAACTACCTTGTGCATAATCTCTTAAAGCAAGACTTTCAGAAAACAAATAAGGCAAATTTTCTTCACAAATTAAGTTAGCCATACCAGTCAAATTTTGTGCATCATTGTAGGAGAAATTACCAAAAGGTTGAGAATTCGCAAACCTCGATATTTGAGTTTGCTTCCCCGTTCCGCCGCCTAATTTTGCATACTCCACGGGGTGCTTTGCCTTAAGATGCCTTGCGGCGGATCCGTATCCGCCGGAGGTTCCCAAACTATAATTGTTGTTGCACCACTTGCAAGTTGCGTGCCAATAGCCGGTTTGTGGGTCCTTCCATTTATCAAAATTATTTTTCATTAGTTCAGACTTACTTTTTTTATTACCGGTGGCGGTTTGGGATGAGGCAGGCGCGTCGGCGTCGTGGCTGCCGGCACCCTCCTCCTCGGCCGTCTCCGGTTCCAATTCCTCCGCATCTTCATCCTCAAGCTCCTCTTCGTCAATGGTCGTCGGCATTTGTTGTTGTTGTAGAAAGCGGTTATTATGTCGGGCCAATTCTTGTTGGAGTTGTTCTTCGGACATCGCATCTCCATCTCGCCTTTGGTAACCCGTTTCAAAATCATCTCGGCTTTGAGATGAAGACCCGGCAAGTTCTTTACCTTTGCGGGATTTCTTCCTACCAATCTCGTTTCTTCGATTGCGTTGGAGGTTACCCAAATCAACCGAATATCTACCACCTTCCATCTAAAAAATGTAACAAATATTAATTCACAACAAATATAATAATGGATACAAAACTAATGCAACTAATTAAAACTATTTTAATTAATACTTCAAACTAATTTTGTGCAAAGTAGAATTAATGTGTGTCTCTACAATTAAAATTATAGCAACTTTTGAAGTAAATAACTAGTACAATAAAAAATGTAACAACAATGCTAATTAAGTAGTTAACTAGTATAGTGACAAATGTAACAAACTAACAACTAGTTAAATAAAATGTGAAGTATTTTAATTAGTATAATGAAAAATGTAACAAGAATGCTAATTAACTAATTAACTAGTATAATGAAAAATGTTACAATAATGGTAATGAACTAATTAACTAGTATAATACTAGTTATAGTAAGTAATATATAATATAATGTTTATATTATATAATATATAAGTAAACTACTATAAGATGAGTAATACACTTGTATTTTATACTTTAATATATAAAATATATATTAAGTAGCTAGATGTAGAATGTATGTATTAAGTGGATATAATAATTGTATAAGAATTAAATATTAGAGTATAATGGAGAATTGGAGATTGGAAAATAAGTATATATAAAATATAAGTAGAGAAGTAGATATTATTATGTATTAAGTATATAGTAATAGTTTATAAAGTATATTTAATACTTTATTATATAAAGTATATATTAAGTAGATATAGTATGTATGTATGTATTAAGAGATATAAGTAGAGATTAAGTAGATAAGAAATATAAGTAATATAGTATATGTAGATAATAATATATAAGTAGATAATTAATATATATAAGTAGATATAATAATTGTATAAGTATTAAATAGTAAAATATAATATAAAGGAGAATAAGAGAATTTGAGAAGATGAATATGGAGAATTGGAGATGAGTAGAGAGTAGGATTTAGGTAGAGTTGGAGAAGAGGTGTGAAAAAATGTTTAAAATTAGGAGTATTTATAGGTTTTTTTTTTAACCCCAACCCCCACCCCACCCCCCACCCAAAGCCCCCTGACCCCCCCCCCCCCGTACCACCCAACGGCTATATAGCCGTTTGGGTGACCGTTGAGCCACCAAAAGAAGCAAAAAAAAAAAAAAAATTAAATTTGGACCGTTAGGCCCGGGCCCGGGCCCGACCCGAGCCCGGTCCCGCTTACCCGACCGGGTCTGTGCCCAAACCGGACCCGGACCCGAGAACCGGGCCGGTTCCGGGCCCGCACAGTGGCGGGCCGGGCCGGTCCCGGGCCGGGCGGCCCGAACCGGGTCCATCACTAAGTAATAGTATTGGCTGTTTGAATAGTTAAAGAAGCTAATTTTAGTCAAAGAACTTAAAAATTTCCCAAACGCGGCCAAAATGTGGATGTGAGTTTGAGAGTGTTTTAATTAATTTGTGTGTCTAATTAGGTAGTATTTATGATTTTGATTAATTAATGATTTTGATAGAGTATATATGATTCCGTTTGATAGTTCTATCTCATCTTCATGTTATGATGATACAATAGATGAGATTGATATCCTCTTATCAAATATAGAAAAGATCTTCCTAAATTGAGCAGATTGTTTAGCTAACCATTTGAGAGTTTTGAAGAAATTTTCAGCTCCTAGAGCTTTGATATTTCTTATCTGGTGAACCCTAACCATCCTAAACCTGACATAGATCTTCACACCCGAAGATCCATAATGAAAGATAAAGTGACTATAATAGAGTACGAAGTAAAATGCGAGTTTAACATAAGGTAATAAAGAATAATGTACCAGTATCCTTCCCCTTCATGAGTTGTCAACTTGCACATCCTGCCTTGGAAGCGAGCTTCCTCAATCTTCATCAATCATGGTGAGCCAGTATGTCCTGTCCCAGTCGATCTCCTTCCTATTTTTAGATCAACCATCTTGATCTTCATTTTCGCACCGCAACTATATATCTCCCCTTTCTCGAGGCGATGTCACTTTCATTCGAGTTTCAACGCATCTCGCCCCAGTATACACATCCTCCCTGATTTCATCTGGCGTGTTGCATCTTCAAATTCATCTTACTTCCGTGCACCTGTCACCACTCTCTATGAGAAGAGAGAAGCAAATGGCAAAACAAGCAAAAAAAAACTACACGCGATAGTCGCCTCGGTACATCCGGAATAGATATTTGGAAAACGATTTATGAAAGACTCGTTAAACTTTAATTATATTATTATTATTATTACCATAATAGTACTGCATTGCAATTTGGATGTCGATGGATTCTAACAATGTAAATACACATTTTATAAGGGCTCTAAGCAGTGGCAGAGCCTGAAATGTCAGGTTGGGGTGCCAAAAATTAAAATTTCAATTTTTTTTTTATTTTTATAAATACACACACATAGTGCGCTTCTAATAAAAACAATGCTTAACGTGAGAACCGTGAGAACACCACTTTTAACTCAATGTGATACACTAACGTTTGTACACTACACTTTTTCAAAACATGATGACATCAAATAAATACGGTGGCAAATTCGTAAATATTTTGTCAACACAAAAAACTGTAACGTACAAACATTATAGTGTATCACATTGAGTTAAAAATGTTGTTTTCACGGTTCTCACATTAAGCACGTTTCTCATTTGATTGTAAATCCATACATACATATGTGTGTACATTATAATTTTTTTTTCTCAAAGGGCAGTTGCCCTCTCTAGCCCCTCCCTGTCTCCACACCCATTCTAAACAAATGTAATTAATTAATTATATGTAAGCATGGTTTAAATCATAAATTTAGAAAATTTTGGGTCATCCAATAAACAAATGTTAAACGTTGAGTACAGGTTGTTTTATTATTTTCATAAATAAAAAACTTCCTTTGTCCAATAAAATTCTCCTCATTTACGATTTTGGGATAGCAAAAAAAAATCTTCTAATTTTATATTTTAGGAAGTTTTGTGCCGCTAACATTCAATTACTTTTTTTACTCAACCATGCATTTCCATTTTATTCACAATTTCTTAAATTCTCATCTAAGCCAAATAAGAAAAATATATCATACAATCGGCTCTAATGTGCACACGATATAACCAAACATTTTATATTTGAAGAAACGAGTACAACGATTAAAAGAAATGAGTATTGGTATTACATTATAAAATCAGCACAATAAATATTTTTATAATAATACAATGATAATATAGTTAAATGAATAAATTAGTATATAACATATACATTACGTGTAGATCATCTCAATTGTATATGTACAATACTCAATTATGTTTCCAATAATATTAATAATAATATCTTATAAACGTTATACTCATTAAAAATATAAAATAAAAGTAAAATAAAATTATCTATCGTAACTGGATGTACAGTACGCGGAGGGAGAGAGTCCAAAATGTCAAAAAGTAAACGGCAAACTAGATGAAGATGTCTGTTTTACTTCAACCGTTATCAATGTCTTTCCCAGTAAATTATTTTAACTGGACCACCGAAAATAAAAAGTAAACGGCAAACAGCACAAAAGCTGCGGAGGAACCGAGGAACCAAAGACGAAGCTGTAAGGAGAAGACCAAATGCTTATAAATCAGACAAAAATCGAAATAAACGGAAATATTCACAAAGCTGCGGAGAAACCAAAGACGAAGAAGCTGTTAAGGAGAAGACCGAATGGCCGCTCCTCTTCCCCTGAATCAACCGTCGTTCTCGCGTCAGCGTCCGTCGATCTCTCATTTCCTACTGCCTCCCATCTCGTTCGGCGTTCACCTCTCTTCACCGGCTCCTTGGTAAAACTGCGTTTTTTTCTATACATTTGATATGGAAGCACTTTCATAGTCAGGGATCAATTTTGATTTTTTTGTCGTTTTTGTTTAATTGCTTTGAATTCGAGATAAAACATAAAATACTTGCATGAATTTTCAGTTTTCAAATGTCTACAATGTGTATGTAAGAATGTCTCAATGAGAATTGGATTTGATCTCACACATGACTAGAGCATCTGATAGAAATTTTCGACCTGGAGTTAAGTACGATCCATGGATTCCCATTTCATATCAACAATCGTTATGATCCGTACAAAACCTGAGAGAACCGGATAAATCTTTACCATAGTGTATCAATTTTTTTATAATGGGGTACAGTACCACTTCTATAGTTCAAGTGATAAGCATCCATGTACTACCAATTATATATGTGCATGCATATATGCATACACATTACATACATACACATATACAGTACAAACACGCACACAGTCACACACATATAATTTGGTTTAAAAAATATAATTTGGTTCACATAAAAAGTACTCCCTCCCTCACCCAATTATCTTCCAAATACGGTTTTGACCGTGGATTAAGAAAGTGGGATTTGTGTTGTGGAGAGTTGTATGAGAGAACTGTGTAAGAAATGTGGTGAGCATATTTTTTTTGCCAAAAAAGGAAAGAGGATATATATTGGGATGGACAAAATAGTATAGTTGGAAGATGATTCAGGGACAAAGGGAGTAATTCTTAGATGAAAATGAGAAATAATCTTGATCATTGAGGTAAGCAGATGGATGGACGAGATCAATTTTAAAGTAAAGATGCAGTGCCACTAATGTAAATATGAAAACTTCAAATTAAAATTTGGTGAGAGAAGTGCACTGGAAATCTGGAATATGCAATTATGTATATATATATACAATCATGCATATATAGATCACATAGTGTATCAGAATCTGAAATAAAATGTAAATAAGTTAAAAAAATATGACAACCGTTTTCTAACACGTATGACTACACTTTTATGTTTACATGATGCACTTTGAAATAGAAAACTACACACATTGAAGTTCCACATAATTACAATTTTTGTCACTGCTTTTGTTTTTCAATTTCATTTAATCCATCATTTTAAGTGATTACTGGCTTATACATATGTATTTATGTATGTATATACTCCCTCCGTCCCAAAATGGTTGGCCAATGTTGACTTGCACGTGGATTAATAAAGTAAAAACTGTGTGGTTGAAATTTGTGCAGAGGAGAGAGAATTAACTTTAGCCACATATTTATTACTTTAAATGGAAATGGCCAACCTTTTTGGGACGGCCAAAAAAGGAAATTTGGCCAACCATTTTGGGACGGAGGGAGTATATATTTGTGTGTATGTATATGTGTGTGTATTGAGAGAGATAGAGAGAGAGGGGTAGAGAAGTCCACACTCCCTATTAGCTAGTTAATTAGAATTGGTCCATTGACCTAAAATAGATGGCATTCATGTAGTAATTACTCAATATGCCCTATATCTAAAATCACAGTTCAGCGTGTAAAATTTTATGTGCTGTGTATTACTACCTCCGTCCCATATTGGTTGTCCACTTTCAATTTGGCACGATTATTAATAAAGTGGTTAAAAAGTAAAAGTTGATGTTGAGATTTGAGTAAAATAAAGTGAAATGATAAGAACCACATATTTCTTGCCAAAAAAGGAAACAAGACATTCATTTTGGGACAACCCAAAAAGGAATATAGGACAACCAAAATTGGACGGAGGGAGTATTTTTTATATTTTCTGAGAAATGCATGGTACTGAAGAAAGTACCAAATCTTGGTACAAAATCTGAAATCCTAACATGCAATGTTTGTTTTTGGGATCGTACAAGTGGTATAAGTTTCTAAACTTTTAAAAGACCAATAGTTTGAAATGGGGTAGACTTTAATAAATAACCATCTTGTACCATCCAATATTACGCCTTAATTAGAACACTATTCATTTAACTTGTTACGTTCTTTTGGACACATGGACAACCCGTCCAACTACTGTACATAATTAAGTAACATTTGGTTGTATTATCATTAGATCACATATGTGAAAATATATGGAATATGGTACATCTTTGGTTCTTCCACACTAGTTGATGGTCCATTATATATGGATAAGGTTTTAGTGCAGCCTAAAGATCAAATCTTAAATGTTTGTTTCCATTGTTTACAACTTTACATTTGACATGCATTCATGCCTTACTCGAGATGTTTTCTCAGAAAATTAAGTTTATTGAAATGCAGGAAGAGTTTGTTTTTTCAGATCGAAATCTAGGGTTTCTTCATTTTTCAGATACAATATGTCCAACTTTTGTAGATAAGTAAGTAATGTTTGGTTGTATTATTATTAGATTACATGTGTAGTGAATAAGGTACATTTCCACACTAGTTGATGGTCAACTATATATGGATAAGGTTTTAAAGTAGCCTAAAGATCAAATCTTGAATGTTTGTTTTCATTGTTTACAACTTTACATATGACATGCATTCATGCCTTATTCAAGACCTTGTATCAGAAAACTAAGTTTATTGAAATGCAGGAAGGGTTCGTTTTTCAGATTGGAATCTTACAAGGGTCTTATGAGTCAGACTCGGGAAACTGATTATGATGAACATGAAGGCACTTTGTTAACTGAGGGTGCTTCTGGAGTCTTCACCAAGATGAAAGATCATTTTTTGAGCTTCAAGAAGGATAAGTACATGTATGGAATGCACATTCATAATCTGTTCCTTCATGTTCAGCAGTTATGGGTGCCAGTCTGACTCAATGTTTATTTTCTTAAAATAGGGCCAATCTAGAACACTTTAGAGGTCTTGCAAAAGCCCAAGCACCAAAGGTAGTAGTTCCACTTTTTGTTTCTTGTTTTGGGAGATCTTTTTTTGTTTTCTTCGATCTGATTAGTTTGCGACTGGTCAAGTATGACATACCTGGTCCGGTTGGATATTATATGTATTTTGTTGCTTCCTCCGTCCCACTATCACTTGTCCCATGTTTCCTTTGTCATTTGCCGCACTAAGTTTGTCCCATATTTGATAATATTTGTGTCATTCTAAATTCTAATTCTTTCTTTATTCACACTTTGTCATAACTTCACTTTTCTCAATCATTGCATCACTCCCTCATGCCTCGATCTTTGTAGGATGGAGACAGTGTTATTTAATGATTGCTCGGTTTGATCTTGTTTTGTCTTTTCCATAGTTAACTTTCCTGCTTTGATCTAGAAATGAGTTAAGTAAACATGTCGCCCCCTCTTTGTGCATTTGTTGTTGTCGTGTGTTTATCAGGTGATGAAAAGTTAGAATTTTTTTTTGATAAGTTTGCTACCAGGTGAATACATGCCAAATAAGAATGTATACATCAAGAGTACTAAACAAATGTATATGTAAATATCAAACACTTTTGCATCATTGCATGAAAAAAGTTTACACATCACACACCTTAAACTCTTTGTCTTAATAAGATTTGATTGTAAAATAGCTTAGGTATATGCTTGTTTGATTGACTAAGTCTGCAGTGTGTGATAATGATAATTCCTTCATGTTTGAAGAACAGTTCATGGTGATTGCTTGTTCAGATTCTCGGGTTTGTCCTTCGGTAGTCCTGGGATTTCAACCCGGAGAAGCGTTTGTAATCCGCAACATTGCAAATTTGGTGCCTCCTTATGATGTAAGTAATACCTTTAGTACAGCAAATACTCATTTTATATGTCTAATAAATTACATCATAAATTACACTTTCGATGTAATTAGTACATATGACTGTAGTTTGGATGTTGCTGCAGAATGGCCCTTCAGAAGTAAATGCTGCTCTTGACTTCTCTGTCAACACGCTTGCTGTGAGTCAATTCTGCTGTTTTGCTGGATTCTCTATTACCCATATTTCTCTATTCATCATTTGATCGAGTCTGGTAATCCCTTATCAAAATTCGTGTATGTTTTGATGAACAAACTAAAAAATTAAAAGCGAGAAAGAGGAGCGCAAAATTTGGTTACCTAGTTCATTCGATAGACTATTCTGGGCATTTTCAAACCAGGGATTTTTACTAAGTTTCCGAGAGTTATACCCTGTTGAATGAAAATGAGTAATTAACATTTTTAATTCAACAGTTAATACAGAGCACTTCATAATATTTATAATTTTATTATACTTTTATATCAAGTAGATTATTTTACATGCTTCAATGCCTCTACGGACATGCATTTATGTGTGTAGAAGATATTTCCCCATCATTTTGTTAGTATTTAATCAAGTGTAATTTAACTTGAATCGAACTCGAAGAAAGCCAAAAAACATTGAGACTAAAATGCACCAGAAACTAAAACATTTACATTTGGGATTCGGGTCCTAAAAGATGGCTCGTGTTAAACCTGAACCCCACCCATGCCCTCCCTTGTTGATTGTATTTTTTTATGCTTCAACATTTACACAAGCTCACTCTGCAGGTGGAAAATATACTAGTGATCGGACATAGCTGTTGTGGGGGCATTCAAACTTTAATGAGCATTGAAGATAAGATGGACTCAAGGTTTGTCCAATAATGCCTTCTTTCTTTTGCCAGTTTTCAGTCTAGTTATCTTTATATGTTTAGATCAGTTACGGTTTGCATTGCAGTAGCTTTCTTCATAATTGGGTCATTGTTGGAAAAACTGCAAGATCTCAAACGAAGTCCGTTGCCTCAAAACTGAGTTTTGATCAGCAGTGCAGGCACTGTGAGAAGGTGCACATTTTTTTTACAAACCTACAAATTTTACGCCTTTTTAAGATTTTGTTTTCGGAGAGGGTAACATAGACAGTTGGTTCCTCCACTTCCAGGAATCACTCCACCTTTCAATGCAAAACTTGCTGACATACCCATGGATAAAGAAGAAGGTGGTGAGTGGGGAGCTTTTGGTCCATGGGGGATACTATGACTTTGTTAATTGTACATTTGAGACATGGACTTTAGAGCGTAACAAGAACAGCTCAAGTTTGGACAACCATTACTGTGTTCAAAACCGGGAATTCTGGAGTTGACTTTGCTGCCAATACCTCTTCTTACTTTTTCTAAATATAGCTGAAACAAACACCTTCTTGGTATCCATTGTCATTCAACCCTTCAACTTATTTGTATGTACTCATGAAACATTTTCATCAATGATAACATTACTTGGTAACTGTGTGTTGATATTTGTTTGGAGGATTAATTTAAATAACCGACTGAAATGTAGTGAGTGGTAGGTGGTGTTTTAGTAACTAATTGGAAGAATACTATGTATGTCCTGGTTTGAGAAGCA